TGGCCCTCCAAAGACGTTAAAGCTTTGCCATGTGAAAATCAGGGTAATAGAATATTGCCCCTTAAACTGGTCAGCATTGACGGAGCAGACAGGCAGAGAGAGGCCTGAGACCCAGAGACCCGGTGGGCGGAGGGGAGGCTTGCCACCTCACTTCACCGAGCCTTGACTCCAGGTCTTTCACGGGGGCAAGACTTATCTTCCAAGATTTCCCAATGTTATGGGGATATGTGTGTGTGTGTTCACAGTTAGACTTTTTTTTTTTTCTTTTCCTTCTCTTTATGGTAACTTTAAGGGGACTTTTGTTTTTATTTTCCCAAATCTCATCACTGGGGATCATTTTCCACCTTCCAGCTTCAAGACTTGATAGTAGGTCAATGTGGCCAGCAGCTTGAGAGGGAGGCATCACCAAAGTTTTTGCAAATGGCTCTGGACTCCACCCGTAGTTCAGGTTCCATTCAGCATATGTCGAAATCGAGTAGAAAAGGACTTCTGTGAGACTTACAAAGAAATCACTAGAGAGGGGGAGCCTGCTTTGGGGAAGCTGAAATAGTGACTCCCTCCTTTCCTTCCTATCCCTCCTTCTGCCCTTCACTTCCTTCCAGTTGTGGCTTCCTTTGTAGCTCAGTCCTTACTATATCCAATTTGGGAATAAAAGTAGTAAAAATAACTTTCTCCAATGACAGTTTTCTGTCCAGTGAACTTTTTTTTTTAAGATTTTATTTATTCATAGACACACACAGAGAGAGAGAGAGAGACAGAGAGAGAGACAGAGAGAGATTGAGAGAGGTAGAGACACAGGCAGAGGGAGAAGCAGGCCCCATGCAGGGAGCCTGACTCAGGACTCGATCCCGGGACCCTGGGATCACGCCCCGGGCCGAAGGCAGGCGCTAAACCGCTGAGCCACCCAGGTTGCCCTCCAGTGAACTTTCTAATGCTCTTCCCTGTGCATTGAACGTTGAATTGTACATAAACACGTTGACTGATTTTATGTAGCCAATTTTTAAAACGCCAGGGCGAGGAGGGAGGGGATGGACAAATGTCTCCAGAGCCCCTCCGGCTCCAGCTTGCCAGGCAGGCATCTGTGTGTCTTGACTGTGCCTGTCTGGCTACAAATGGCCAAACACTGAAACAGAGTGTCCCCAGCTTCATCTATTGGGGCGTTTCAGTTCTGCGAGTCTCTCCTATAGCACCATAGCACTTTCCAGAAATTAAGGCCATGCTGGCTGAGGGCACCTGGCCCAGTCTCCATGTCCCCTGGGCGGCAGACAGGGCTGGGAGGAGAGGAGCCTGCTCTGGGAGACGGCGGGCTCTGGAGGACCTGTGCAGGCAGGATGCAGGAGCCTCGGGCTCAAAGGTTCAGGACCTGTGGGAGACCACGTGCCTCTGGGGCTCTGAGCACCACCGTGTGTTCTCCCGTTGGGGATGGGCATCTCTGCGCAGACATCTGACACGTACACCTACTGGGATTTTAACCGTTCCGAAAGCTACGTGCCCCCCTCTCCCTGGGCTTGCCGGTCCCGCTTCTGTCCCTTGATCTGTCCAACAATTTAACGGTCCAGTTACAGACGGGATGTTAAGCCGGCTCCCCAGACCACAGCGGAGGTCACTCGGGCGTACTCACAGTTCCTATTTGGCAATCATGGCTCGGGGGCTGCCCCACTCTGCACCGTCCTAAAGCTGGCATCTGCTGTGGCTCCAGGGTTCCTGAGACCCTCAAACAGAGCCCAACGTCTGAGAGCCTCCGAGATTGCCCTGGGTGACCTGGGGCCCCTGGAAGGTTGGGGTAGGTCAGATTCCATGATGCAGACAGAAGTGGATCTCCACGTACACGGACATGCGTTTCGGGAGGGGACAGGGAGGCCACCGACACTGGGAGAGCCTCTGGCATTAAGCACACGTTAGAGCCTCTGTCCCACGGGCCAGTCTGAAGCACCATCTCTGTTCTTCGTAAGGCTGACCTCCTTCTCCCAGGAGCAGGTAAACGTGGGCATTTTGGTGCCGTCACACAGGATTTACCTCGTGATAGCAAAGTGCAAGGAGGACTTGAGGCAGCTCTACAGAAAATAAATGGGAGCCTCCAAAATTTCAGCTGATGACATACAGTATGGGGGAGAAAACAAACATTATTAAGAAAATAAATAGTACCATGCACAGCTGTCCGGCAAATATGTCAGGGGAAAAAAAATGGTTGGGCAGGAAGGCAGCTTTTGGGAAGGCTGTAATAACATTTCTCCCTTGGTCGTTTCATGTGCCTTTGCAATCCTATCTGCAGGGCACTGAGGGAAACTCTGGATTCTCTTTGAAAATGAACAGTTGAGGGTTCTGAGAAGCACGGCCAAGTCTGGTTCCTAGTTGGGGCGGGGGGGGGGGGCGGGCTCAGCCTGCCGTCCCCGGGCTGGGGCAGGAGTGGTCCCTCGGCCGACCTGGGGCAGGGCCTGCGTGGCTGCAGGTCCCACCCGGATCTGCGTCCTGCTTCCAGGGCCTCCTGCTGGCGGCGCCCCGAGTTACGGCAGGGCTGCTGCAGGTGCTCGGGGACACACGGGTCCAGTCCCGGGCAGCTGGGCGCCCAGTCCTCGAGCACGCCGTCCTCGCCCACCCCAGGGCCAGCTTCGAGAGGCACGTCCTTTCTGGCCAGATGTCGCTGCCCCCGTAGGAAGCCCTCTGCCCGACCACAGCCTCCCTCCCGCGGCACTCCGGCCGGCAGCACAGCAAGCTCCTGACCCGAGGCCCGTGCAGCCTCGACGGGCCAGAAGGCGACCCCCCGCCCTGCCTGTGCCCAGGCCCCTCTCCTGCGCCCTCCTAGTTTATGGGCCGTTCCCGTCGGGAGCTCCGGCACATCATGCCCGTGCCCAGGACCCGCGGAGGCCGGGCGCAGGGGTCTCCGCAGCGGCTTCTTCCCACCCTCCCGGGGCAGGCAGGTGCTCTCCAAACGGAGGATATGCTTAGCACGTCGCCTACCCTACGTGTCCGCCGGCCGTTCCCAGGATGACCACATGCTTGCAACGGCTGAGGGTGGAAGAGGGCTTCCCTCTGAGCAGAAAGCACACTGATGCAGAAAGGAACGCTCAGGGACATGACTGCTCTGCACCCAGGACCATGACTGGTCCTAGAAGGCATTTCAGAGAGAAGCACCTTGTAGGCGGGGGCCCTGGCTTCAGGCCTCCACCGGGCTTGTCCTCCGAGCCTGCACGCTGTCCCCCGCCCGGTTAGCCGTCCGAGTGGGTGCATTTTCCCTAATCTCCTCCTTCAGAATCGCAGCCGAAGCCCACCACCTCTCCCGCCCTATGTCTCTCCCTGAGCACAGGCCCTCTGCAAGCCTCAAGGAGTCCATGACCCTCTTCTCAGGAAAGGACATGTGCCACGTTATTGGGACGTTAGGGAACAAGATCCAGGGACGAGTCTGACAACGATGCAGTGCTGAGTCCAAGGGATGGCTTGAGGTCTCATGACAAAACCAGCTACAATTGCTATTGAGGACAAAGCCAGGGGTACTGACCACGGTCGCTCATGGCCGAGCCCCGGTTATAGGACGGGCCGTATTTCAGTTACAGTTTGGTGAAGAACGAAGATGTATTTTTCTCCATTGAAGTTCACGGACCCCTTGAATTCTGTGCATGGACCTCAGGTTAAGAACCTCAGCCCCAGAGGGAACCTGGGAGCCAGTCCATGCGTAGGAGGGATGTTTTGAAAGGTCTAATTAGGTCTCTTGAAAATACACATTCCGGGAAGACAATCTACCACACAAATTCCATAAGCACCCAAGAGTTAAAAACCATAATTCTGGAATGCTCTGAAAGCTGCTCGTGCGTGATAGGGACCGACCGTGACTTTCACGGGGCGGGCGGGGGGTGCGGGGGGTCCGTCGGTCAGTGTGTAGACAGGCTGCCGCTGGCCGGGGAGGACAAATCCTGCGCGCTGAGACAGACTCAGACCCTGGCAAAGAGGCCGGGGTGTTGCCCCGTGGACACCCTGGCCGGTCAGCACATTGCTAATCCCGAAAGTATTAAGTTTTAGTTATTGAAGGAAGTCGCCCAGGGGACCGACTGAGCCACATACGTGAAACAAAAAAATCCTGGGAGTTGGTGCGACCCTGGAATTTTACAGATTAAGGATGGTAGAGCTCAATTTAAAATGAGAGGTGATCTGTCCGAGCCCCCACAGAGTGGGGCTGATCTAGCTAATGCCGTAAAGAATAAATGATCAAATAAATGAATAAAAATAAAAATCACAAAATGATGGGATTTGAGCAAATCCTGACCTATAGCAGAGGAAGTCTGTGTTCCTTTCTCACCATCCTCTTACTTAAATTCTGATTTCTCTGTGTTTTGTGATTTGATGGACCCTTCATGTGTCCAGTTATCTCTTACTTGGAATATTGAGGTGGATATTTTGTTTAACAGATCAACTGTCACGAGTCCCAGGAGCTGATATTCCTGCCACGATTTAAGAAAGTGTGACCTTCCATCCAACGGTTTTCAAAAGAAAAAAAAAAATCAAGAAATACCAAGGAAACTGTTTTCCCTCTGAAGAGGCAAAAAAGGGATTTACAAGAGCGAGACTTCTTTTTCCTCTTTGTTTGTAATAACAAAAATAAACCAAAGTCCTGACATATTTGCAGTATTTTTATTCCTAAAGGAAAAAACAGGAACTTTCATTGTACTTTAAAGTTATTACTCCCAGATATTTCACCAGCTAAGCACCGCACGGCCCGTCTCGGACGCGAGAGACCCGCGTGTCTCTCTAGGAAATGCTCCCTCCGGGTGGTGCCTCTGGCACACTCGGGGGTCCTGTGAATGATCAGCCTCCTCGGGGGGGGGGGTGGGGGGGGTCTGCAGCCCGCAGCCCTGGTTGGACAGCACACACCATGCCGGGAATGTTCCTGTTGTGTGGCTAGTGACCCCCCTACAGGAAGATAACAGACAAGCCAGGAGGGCGGAGCAGCTTGCTGCACATGTCCTGGCTGCTCTTATCAACTTATCATATAAGGAAAGGAAAGGATGCTCGTCCCGACACAATTTAGGGAACGAGGAAAACAAAGAGGCACTCACGCCGGTCCGTGAAGGCAAGTGCAGGGCTCAGGAGCCGCGGCCGTCTGACAGCTGGCGGCAGGACCGACCGCAGGAGGGGAGACGGCCCTAACAACCAAGCTCCTGCTGCAAGAGGAGGCAGGAGTCCCACTGATGGACCTGACAGCATGTCAGCAGAGCCCTGCATCTGAGAGGGCAGCCTAGGACCCGGAGCCCCAGTGCCTTCGCGTCCCTATGTGCCTTCGCCTTTGCTAAGCTGCTGGCTGTTTTTTTTTTTTTTTTTTTTTAACTGAAAGACAGAAAGAATGTGGCAGATTGTTTTCTTTACTCTGAGCTGTGATCTTGTCCGAGCCGCAGCCTACAACAACTTTCGGAGAAGCATGGACAGCATCGGGAGAAGGCAGTATCAGGTTCAGCACGGGTCCTGCAGCTACACGTTCCTCCTGCCAGAAACAGACAACTGCCGCTCCTCTGGCTCCTATGTGCCCAACGCCGTGCAGAGGGACGCGCCGCTAGATTACGACGACTCGGTGCAGCGGCTCCAAGTGTTAGAGAACATCATGGAGAATAATACACAGTGGCTAATTAAGGTAGGGAAACAATCATTTATTTCTACTTGGTGAAGAGCTGGAGCTGATCAGCTCAGTTTTCACAAACGCTGCCCTCCTCCTCCAAAAAAAAAAAAAAAAAGCCATTAGCACAGGAGAGAGATGGTGGCTAATACCTTCGAATGAATTATCATTTCTATTATTCTATGCCGGGCTGTAAAGTAGTCCTGGGTGCAGGGTGAAAGGATTATTTGAGAAGAATGCCAGGACCTGTAGAGAAAAATCCCTCTGAGTTCGGGATCTTTATTTAATAAAGCAGGGGAAGTGCACTTCTCCCTGCAAAACGTGTAGGCTGTGTTGTTTGTGTAAGTGGCTTGAGCTCAGTAACACCCCTTGCCAGGGATGTTATAAACCGGTTGCAGGCATGGGAGGGAAGCTGTAAGCGGCAGCAGCAGCAGCACTGCCGGAGCCAGGAAAAACGTGACAATCATGCTAATTACTGATGCATAACGGATGGAGTAAAGTGCTTTACCAATTTCCTGAATTTATTTACTAAAATAGGTTGTGACTCTTGGTAAATGAAAGGAAATTAAATAAAGCAGACTTGATGTTTCTCAGAATCGGAGGGCTTTACCCCCCTGAAGGGTCTGCCGTTTTGTACATGGGGTGAGTTTTCCAAGCTTCCGGGGGAATGTGCAGGAGCCAGCCCGGGGCTCCCGCGGGCTGCGACGGTCCCCCACGTGGGACGGGCACCGGGCACTCTCTGCAGCTGCGCTGTGACAAGACGGTCATGTTCTCCGGGCTCTGGTGACACAGGGTTTCAGAGACGTTTCATAGAAACTTTAAACCCCCAAAGCTCAGTTTTTCTTTCACAAGGAATCATTTTCTTCATGGAAAGCTCTTTATCCAAAACCCAAAGTCACCCCCCCCCCCAGTCAATTTTTCCTGATACGGACTATGCATATTCCGGAGGAGGCTTACACAAACTGTGTGAGTAGATGAATCACTGACGATCATCGTGACATCACATCATGATGCCTGCACGCGGCACAGAAGGTACCTCTGAACAGGCTAATTCGCTCCACTCAGGACGCTGTCCCAGAAAGAATTCCCAGCCTTTCATTTCACCATAAGCTTTCTGCTAGGATACTTTATCTTAATCTTAGAATAGATCTTGGCTCCGAATCTGTGTTTCTCATTAGCTGTCCTACCTTCAGAGAGGAAACGACTGAGTTAGGACTTGAGTCTGATCCCGAATGAATGAGCGCCCTCAGCCACCAGAGTGGCCGCTTCAGTGCAGACACAGAAAACACAAACACTTATCAGAAAGGCCTGCTGTGTAGTACACAACTCATTACTAATGATCTTTGAAGGCACTGGCCCCCTCTGGGCAAATTCTCCCCCAGGTTTTCCTCTTTTCCTAAGGAGATTCCTGGGGTGTGTACTTTAAAAATCTTCAATAATTCATACATGTGCACTTAAAAAAAAAAGCTGTTCATTCACAGATGTACTTTAAAAAAAAGTACACAGCAACACAGGTGAACATCCTCATCTGCCCGACAGGCAAGTCCTCTTTTAAACACTTGAGGAACCTGAAAGAATGTTTTGACAAATGCAAGACTGCTAAATTGCATTTGCTTAATGAAACCCACAGTAAGTACACCTAAAAAACTGTATAGTCAAAGCTCGTATTTCTTCCTTAGATAAACAACCCTCTTCTCTTGGATCTTTGAGACACTATTTAAGGAAGGAAAGGGACAAGAGATTCTACATGGAGAAACCAACATTTTTTCCCCCTTTCCTGGTTCAATTAATAAATATTTGAACAGCAGCACAACGGCATTTCTAGATTTCTTTCTTTAGCTATCTACCTAAATTATCACCAAGAATGACATCATGTTTATCTTTCCAAGGCTCAGCACCTGTTCACCTGGCCTATCTGGGTGATGTACACCTGAGAAGGACAGTTTGTGTTCACTCCCTCTGTTCACAGGCTTCTCATTTGGGCACGAAAGCCAAAAAAGCAAACACCAAAGCTGTTTAAAGTGGTTAAATGTAACCTCTTTGCTTGTTTTATATTTCTGTGTTTTGTCACCTGTGATAATAAACATTGCTTTTCTCATAAGGGAGAAAATAATATATAATGGGATGATAGATAAGCCACAGGATTAAAGGTTCAACATCACAATCTAACACGTATTGTGAGACTATGCCGGAGAGAAAAAGCACAATTCTGTGTTTTTCTTTTGTTTCCCATATTTCCTTTACTTTAGGGCTTTTTCTTTTTTTTTTTTTTTTTTTTTTAGTGTTTTCATATTTTCTCTTTCTCCCTGACCAACACAACACTAAAAATTAGGGAGGGGGTGTCTGTGGGAGGTGGCAGGGTGGGAAAACTGTAAGGAGCTTGGACTAAGAAAGCTGTTTTGCACATCATCAAAAGATGCCACTCTGCCCCTTTAATCTGCCAGGCAAAGGAAGTGTCAGACTCCTGAATGAGTGCAGAGTAATATGAATGGAACAATACAGGGAGGGCTCGCTTTCTGCTCCGTGCGTGGTTAGAACAAGGGCAAGATAAACGCATGAGAGTTTACTAAATACACCACGATGACTTAAAAAAAAAAAAACATTATATGTCGCATTCCCTCTGCCCCAGTGATTTTAAACTCACTTTATAAAAACTGACAAATAACTTAGCAAAGTGGATTTTATCTTGCCTGGAGACTGAATGTATTTTTCTTTTCCTATAAGAGGAAATAGGGAAAGGAAATAAACAATTATTTCACACTGGTGAATACCTCAAATTTATAAACAACTGCAAAGTCTATTGTGCTTTAAAACAGAATGTTTTGAAAAATAAAGCTAATGCCTCTTAAATTGATGTAAACATTTCCTCTTTTTTTTAAATAAAAGTACAGAGTAGGCACTATAAACCTGAGTCTAGATGCTTTTCTTTCTCTAAAACTAATAAAAACATATCCTTTTAATAAGGTATGAGGAACTACTATTCTGCAGTGTACGTATAAGGGGACAATGCACTTCTGCTAAAAACAAAATTGCTGTCGATGGGAAAAACTGATGGTGAGAGGCTCAGGTGCACTCAGACCACCAGTCCCACCCCCATCCCTGCTGGGGGACTGGGGGGTGGGGAATGGGGGAGTGTGTGTTTTATCACACGTGGTTGCAAAGCACTCCTTAGCTGTATATTCAAACAAAAAAAAAAAAAAAAAAAAAACAGAGCTTAGCTCACTAAAGAAAAGAAAACCCCAAATCCTACAATATCTGTAGCCAAAGGTTGACTGCAGTACCAGAGCAGAACTCTATCTGTTGTATCTTGAATCAGGAAACATGACTGTGTCCAGTATTAGCAGCAAATTTTGTGCATTCAGATAAGCTGAATAAAGCTCCTGTTTTAGATGGCAGGGAAATGGTTACTGTCATTATTTAATTATATATAAACATCATATAGTAAGGGATGAAGAGGTGATTAAAGTTTCACTATGGTAGAGGAAGTATAACACATTTAAGTTTGGAAAATGCAGGTATAATGTCTACTATAGATTATGTAAGATATTTAGTACATTGTGTGCTTACTGTGTATGTTATATAAAATATACTAAATATTTAGCATATGTAGTATTTGTTGTTTATATAAGATTTGCTTTCCATGGTCAAGTAGTCTCTGCTTATTAAATGGGGCTTTTGGCATGCTGAACTACGTAGGCACCACACTATGGGGAGATGATTATTTGCCTGCAGAGTCTAGAACTAGGAAATGGATCTGTATGTAACTTCTATAGTGTCTTACTTCTTGTTTAGACACTAGGTGATCCATAAAGTCTCCACACTAAAATTTGAAAATTGGTTTGTTTTAATCAATGTAGTTGTTTACAGTTTACAAACAGGTTGTGATCCAAAAGTTGGGACCCAGGCATCCCAACACTGAATCACTTTAAAGCACTCCCCTCACCTTATCCCGTTTTGTCCCAAGACTATCTCTAGAGCACAGGCATGGTAGATATAATCCTATCTATTTGTAATCACTTATAAACATGGGTCAAGATAATATCAATGTGCTTTGCAGTTTGGAAGTCTTGTAGGGATTACCTAGATAGGAAAACAAACACGGAAAGGCACGTACACCGCGCCACCCCCCCACCCCTTGACAAAAAACAGAATTTTCCATGGGTCTGGAAAAAGTACAGAAAAACTGTTGGGAGAAGTGTGAATGAACATGAATGTAGTGCTATTTCTTAGCCCACTAAGGTAAAGGAGTGAATTCCACTCTACCCCCTCCCAGTCCTTTTGGGCAGGAACCATTAAAGTTCATTTATTTGTTCAACAAATATTTATTGAAAGCCTCCGTGTGTCCTGGCAGCATTCTAGTGCTCGGAATAAATCAGTGAGGTGAAGTCAATGATGAAGGGTTTGGTCCTGGTGGGGACTTGCTGCGTTACACCACGGCCTTCCTGGGAGAACACGTGTCAGGAGGCAGTAAGGACTACACAGAGTAGGTGAGTGACGAGAGAGGTGGCGGAGGGCTATATTAACAGTTTGGTCACTCCACTGAAACCTCTTTCATAAAAGGAAAATCAATACAAACTCCTTCTGAATGGTCATTTTTCCTTGTCACCATGGTTATTATAGAAACTAGAACATGCAAAGAATGCACAAAGCACACACACTATGTATAATTCCATCATTCTGAAATAACCATCCTTAATATTTAATGCCTATAGATGCCTACACACACACAAATTATTTTTAAATGTGCTGTAAATATTGTAATATACACACTTATACCTATCTCATAACTTATAATTTTTTAAATTAAAAATTAAAAAAGAAAGTAGGTCTGGGAGGTTAAGTAACTTGGTTGACATCCGAAGTCAGCAATGCTGGTAATTCCCAGCACCTATGCATCCTGTGTGAGATAGCACAGGGCAGGCATCCCTGGGCAGGCCTCCGCACTGGAATTCCAGAGCACCTCAGCAGCCCTGGCACATGATGGCTACTGAGCAGACGGCCTTGTTACCAAATGTTTA